CTTTATTACATTACTTCTATTATTTTCTTCATTTGATTCTTTATTATTTCTATTAATTTATTTGTTTCTTGGCTTTTTTTTATTATTAGTTTTCTTCTTCTTTCTATTTCATCAATCTTACCAATTATTCCTTCTCCTCTTTTAATAAATTCTGAATATGTTTCATCTGGTTGTATTTCAAACACTTCATTTTTAATACTTGTTAAATAATATTGATATTGTTTATTAATATCATCAATTCTTGGTTGAATATTTTGAATTATTTCTACTATTTCTTTAATTAATTGGTCACTCATACTTCTTCTATTTTAATTTAAGAATATAAGATCAAAATAAGAAGATTAAATACTTAAATACAAATTTATAACATCACTTTATTTATTATTTTAATAAATGTTATTTTATTTTTATTTATTTAAATAAACATCATTTCATTTTATTGTTTTAAATAACATTTCTTTATTTTTATTATTATATTTATTTTATTTCTTATTATCTGTTTCTTTTATTTTGTTTTTAATTGATTCTTAATTTTCTTTCTTTTCATTTTATTTTAGATTGAAGATACTTTTCTTCTATATTTCATCTTTACTTATTTTCTTATTTCTTCATTTCATTTCATTCTTTGTTATTATTCTATTTCTGATTTGTTTTATCTTTATTTTCATGACATTTACTCATTTCTTATCATTTCTTATCTCTTTCTTTTTATTCACTTTTCATTGTATTTCTTTTACCATTTTATTACTATTTCATTCATTCTCCTTACCTCTTGAATGTTTATTTTTTATTCCTTTTCTTTACATTCAACAAATAACATATTCAACAATAACTACAATATGATTTAATAGATGCTTTGTATTGAAAAAGAATTTCTGAAGGAAATGAAGGTTAAATGAATAGATTTAATTTGAAATAGAAAGAAGAAAGAGATCAGTTAAAATTCATTTAATTAAAAGACAAATAATTAAAACATAGAAAATAATGATAAAAATTAGTTTAAATTAAAATCCATCTTCATTGAAAACTATCCATGGGAATGTCCATTTTTCTGGTAAACCATTATAAATAGCAGTATCAAATGGTTTTTTACCAAATTCATAAGGGGGTTGATTTTCATATTGAGGAGATGAAATAGCATCTATTTTCAAAGAGATTGCACGTTCATAATTTATTGTTTTTGAATCAAGTCCTCCAAAGTTAGATGGACAATGAAGAATAGTTGGATTAGTTGGACTTGGAATACATTCATTAGGTCTTAAATCATATCTAGAAAGAATAAATTGTCCAGGATCATTAACTAATGGATCATTAGGATAACCATTATATCTCATAAACTTTTTAAAATCATCATATGTATTAATATTTGGTGCATCTCTTTGAATTAATTTCATTCTATCTGATTTCCAATAATCAAAATACCAATCATTATCTGCTTTACATTTTTCTCCTACTCCAGCATATTTATAAACATCATTAAAGAATGGTGCATTAACTGATGGAATATATCCATTTTTAATAAGTTCTTCAGTTCTATCACCAGCTCCATAATAACCTGGCATTTGTTCAATAGCATAAAGAGTACCAGGTTGTGGTCTTTTACCTGGTTTAAATTTATTATAATCTATTATAATATATTGATTATTATATGTTCCTGAATTTTCTCTAATAAAATTTTTAGCCCATTGTACACCACTTCCTCTCTTATTTGATAAAAGATTAGCTATTTGAACACGAATCCATGTTAAAATACTTTCTGGTGTACATTTTTCAAATTGATCTTGATTCCAACAATGCATTGTTGTTTCAATAATAGCAAGTCCATTATCTATTAACCAAAAATCATCTAATGAATGTGTTATTCCTGGATAACTACTAAATAAAATTCTTTTATTTCCAATAGCTTTATCAAAATATTTTATATGATATTCTTTTAAAATACGATTCATTGTTGTTGGTGATGACCATGTATCTTGTGCAACAAATAAATCTTGATAATTTGGTGTAAGTCTAATTAATCCTGTACAATGATGATGAATATCATACCATGCATCATTAAATCTAGTATGATTTCCATGTTTAAATCCTTTCATTTCTGGCCATAAATTATGTGCTGCTATATTTTGAAGGTCTGAAAGATCCCCATCTGAATTTAATATAAAAATATCTGTTTCTGTTATATCTAATTTTGGTTCTTTAATAATTGCTCCTTCTCTAATTCCAAATGTTTGTGCTAAAACTATTCCAAGTGCTCTTCCCCATGGATCACTTAATGATAAATCTTTTGCTTGTTTTTTTGAATATGCAATGTTTCTATTAATATATTCCATAGTAACTGAATCCCATTCTTCAATTATATTTGATGCTCTTTGATTATTCATATGATCCCGAATTCTATGTGATGTTAAATATCCTTCAACTAATCCTGCACATTTTGCTAATTGAAGATCCATTTCAAGTGATGTAGATTGAACACTATTAAGATGTAAAAATCCCCATCCATGTATAAATAATGTATCATTAAATGTTCCAGTAACAAGATATTCTTTATTTTCTTGTACTATTTCTACTTTATATTCTCCTTTTTCAATATAACATCCTGATTTAGAAAATGTATCAGCAAATGCTAATGAAATTAATAAAACAATGAGAACCATTTCACTAATTATTAAGTTCTTTAAAGATCTTAAATTAAATTCCAATGAATTGGAAAAAGTTCTTTTTCATTTCTTTATTTCTTTAAATTTATTATGTTTTTAAAATTTTAATTTTGAACTAATAAAAAATTCAATTAGAAATCATCAAATAAACTTTTTGCTTTTGTTGCTAATTTCACTGCTCCATTAGCTATAGAATCTGCCATCCTTGATAATTCATCATTTCCCCATTCATCATCTGTATCTATTTTTGAATATGATTTCTTTTCTTCTTTCCCAAAGAATTCTTCTGATCCAATAGCACTTGCATTTGAATATTGTGATAGTTTTTGTTTTTCATATGCTGTTGGTTCATCATTTTCAAAGAGTTGATCTGAACTAATTGATTTAGCATTTTTATATTTATTCCAATCAACATTCGATGATGTTGATGTATAACTATTTTGTACTTTCTTTGGTTGTTTCTTTACACTAACATTTGATCCTCCTGTTGCACTAGCATAGATCTTTGGTTTAATCGATCCAGATCCTTCAAAATCTTCAAAACACCATCCTGCTTTGTTTGTCACTTTCTCTTCAACTTTTGGGCTTTCTTCTTCTTTTACTTTTTCCTCTATTTCGTTGATTGACTCTTCTTTTTTTACTTCTTCTTCTTTCACTTCTTTTGGTTGTTCTACAACTTCCTCTTTAACTTCTTCTTCTTGAATATTATCAAAATCGTCAAATGCATCAAATGCATCTTCTTCATCAACACGTGTTGCTCCAAATGTATTTTCTGTTTTTGTTACTGAGTAGACTGATCTGTTTGTCATTGAAATATGTCAAACTCAGTACTATTTTTCTTTTTTTTATTCTGTTTTTTTATCATTTAATTTATTATTTCAAAACTATATTAACTGTATTCAATTATCTTCCTTTAATGCCGTTACAAGTGCTTCTATTGCTGTGTTGAGATGTTCAAGAACAACAAATTCATCCGGTCTCCGAATTGTATGAATAAGTCCCGGACCAAAAATAATGAAATCAGAAGAAGGGAACTCTTTTTTAAAGACAGCAGCATCAGACCCATAAGGTAATGAAACTTCTTTAAACTGATTAATAGATTTCATGTATTTACTTAGTTTGTTTAATAGGACGTTTGTTGGTCTACATTTAATTGAAGGTAATTTCTGACGAATTCATATTCGTATTGGGCATATGATATTTCATTCATTTGGTCAATAGTTTGCTTAATAATTTCTTCTAAGTCCTTGCCAAATACGTTTGGTCCAAATTGATAATAAACAGTTTCAACACAAAGATCAGGAACTATATTGACTTTTTCTCCACCTTCAATCTATAACGATTAATTTTTTTGTTATCATACTAATTTACATTAACAAACAGTTCCTATGTTTAATGTAACATACCCATTGAGGTCTGGTGCTGTAATTGATTCTTTTAATACACAATTTAAATCTGTCATTCCTTCTATTGCATTAACACCAGTATGTGCTTCAATGATATTAGCAGACTTTCCATGACAAGTATATTTTACCCAATAATGACCGTTTTGTCCAGAGCCAATATAAAGATTTGTTGGCTCAAGTACAACAAATGTTTCAACTGATTCAAAAAAGTATTTGTGAGAAACCATAAAATCTTGACATCCACGAACTCCAATTTCTTCTTCTGTAGAAAAGAATATAGCTATGTCATCAATGTTGTTGCTATCTTCAATTAATCTCTTTAGTGTTGCAATAATGACAGCATTTCCTCCTTTCATGTCTGATGTTCCTCGACCATAGATGTATGTTTTATCATCAACTACTTCTGTTGTGCATTTGAGTGGTTCCTTTGTCCATCCAGACCCAATATCGACTGTGTCAAGGTGTCCACAGAGGACAACCTTAAATCCAAGTTTCTTATAAGCAATGATATTATGTTTGTGTGGGTTCTTTGAGTAAGGAACAACTTCAACAATTAAACCAAGGTCATTTTTTAATAAAGAAGTCATGTACTGTGTAATTTCTTCATGGCTGTCTTTCGAAGACTGACTATCAATAGCAACCATTTGTTCTAATATAGTCTTGACATAATCCAGAGTGGTGGACATTGTTTTTCTCTAATAAATGTAATTTCTAGTTTGTTTTTCAAAAATAAGAGTGATATAATGAACAATTAACTGTTTTACGTTTTGTCATATGTTTTTGTAGTTAGTTGTTGAGGTGGTCAAAGAACTAACACCAATAAAGAGACTAACTAAGAAAATAAAAAGAAATAAAGAATAAGAAAAATAAATAAGAAACTGATGACGTGCAGAAAAAACAATGGAAGAAGAAATAAGAAGGACATAAAACAGATGTAATAAATGAAAGAAAGTTTTAGATGGAGGGATTTTGATTAATAAAAATATTTTGAAGTATTTAACATATATTTAAACTCAGATCAACCAATAATTAAACACAGAATGTACCAATTAGCTCTAACTATTAAAGATTATAAAGAAGATATTCATCTTCTTGAGGAAGTAAAAAAATCTAAACCAACAAATACAAGTTGGGAAATATTATGTAATGAAATTGTTGAAGAGTTATTAAAGAAGAAAATTAATGATAAAGAGAAATCTAGTTCATGGGAGATTTATAGAAGTATCATGAACCAAATAGACCCAGTTGAATGTCAAGAATTATGTAAAAATAACAAATTAATGGACCTTATTTCCCAAATGCTTCAATTAAAAAACAAAGATATTGTTGATTCTAAAGAAATAATTACATTAAAAGAACAAGGACATTCATTCTTGTTTTCAGATAAATTAGCATTATGGAAAGGAGATATTACAAAACTTAGTGTTGATAGTATTGTGAATGCAGCTAATAATCAATTACTTGGTTGTTTTGTTCCACATCATTTATGTATTGACAATGCAATTCATACATTTGCTGGTCCACAACTAAGAAGAGATTGTTTTATCATCATGGAAAAACAACAATTTGAAGAACCAACTGGATATGCAAAAATTACTAGAGCATATAATTTACCAAGTAAATATATAATTCATACAGTTGGACCAATAGTTAAATCAAAATTGAAAGAATCTCATTGTAATTTACTTCGATCATCTTATATTAATTGTTTAAATATAGCTGATGATCTTCATTTAGAATCTATTGCATTTAGTTGTATTTCAACAGGAATATTTGGATTTCCACAAAATATAGCTTCAATGATTGCAATTGAAACAATAATAAATTGGTTGTATGAGAATCCATTTACAAGTATTAAAAAAGTAATTTTTGATGTATTTTCAGATAATGATTTACAAATATATAAAAAGAGTTTAACAGAATTTGATAAATCATATAATGAAAAGGATATTATGATACCACCAAAAATAAATACTTCTATTATGGTTACACCTACTGAAATTCAACAAAATGAACTTAACCGTGTTATTCAATTTTTTAAAGATGCTACTCATATTATTATTGGAGCAGGTGCAGGATTATCAGTTGATGCAGGATTAAGTTTTATGGATACTAAGTTATTTAGTGAGATGGGATATCCACTATTTGAATATGGTATTAATTCATTATATCAAACAATGGGATTTGAAGACTTTAAAACAGAGAATCAAAAATGGGGATTTTATGCAGTAATGGCAGATTACATGAGATATAAAGAAGTAAGTGAACATGAATTTGATACATATAAAAAATTACTTGATTTACTAAAGAAATATAATAAGAATTATTTTGTTAAAACAACAAATGTTGATGGTCTTTTTGAAAGATCAGGATATGATATGAACAAGTTTTTCAATCCACAAGGTGATTTTAAGTATATTCAATGTTCAACACCATGCACACAAGATGTCTATCTCTTTAAACCATATATGGATAAAATATTTGAAAACATGAATCCATTAACATTTGAAGTCCCAGATTCTTGTATTCCAAAATGTCCTAAGTGTGGAAAAGAAATGACACAAAATTTAAGATCAGATGAATTATTTGTTGAAAAACCACATATGGTAATGGCACCAGTATTCACTAAATATGTTGAGGATGGAATTAAAAATGGAAAAGTTTTGTTTATAGAATTTGGGGTTGGAGGGAATACACCAATTCATATTCGTATTCCTTTTGAGAATTGGACAATACAAGGTAAAAATACCATGCTTGTTAGAATTAATCTTGATAAGTCATTTCTTCAGAGTAAAGTTACTCACACTAAATATTCTGCATTCCATACAACTGGAAAACAATTTGTAGAATGGTTATGGAAAGCAATGAAATGATTAATTGATAAATTAAATACACTATTTAACATTTATTTTTTTTTTTAAATGATAAAAGATAATGATTATTGAAATATGAATGAGATATTTTTTCTTCATTTAATTTTGGTTTCAATGTTTTGATACCTTTGATACATTTCATCAACTCTTCATTTGGTTATATCAAAAGCAATCATTTATGAAAAAGTTATTAACTATTTGAATTAGTTAATATTTAATTAATATTGTATAAAGAATAATGATATTGAATAATAATACAAAAGAAGTGATAATTTAGATATTAATTTCAAAAATTAAATATTATTTAATTGTTTATAGTATATTATTGTGAGATTGATTGTTTATTAGTTTATGAATATGCTTTTATATAATTATTATTCTATGTTATAGTCCATTTATCATTAATGAAATAAAATATTAAAAGAACATTTGTTTTATTATTAAATTAAACGTAATAAGATGGTAACACTTTGTTATTTAATTTTATTTGTTTTGAAAATACACTCTTCAAAATATCACTATACTTTGGATTGTTTAAGTTGAAAATCTCATAAGAAGAGCTAGAATATGTCATTTCTTTAATTATCTAAATATTTTGAAATAACTTACTAAAAATGTGCTTTTTTATATATAAAATTGAAGATGAAAAAAGATGAATGTGTTTGGTTTATTTATTTTCATAAATCAATTAGAAATAGTCATAAACTTACTGCTAATAATCTCATTTGACCAGACAAATGAAGGTCTTGATTCATATAATTTTTTTGTTCATTAGAAAGATATGCTTTGAGTTGTACTGATGCAGAACAACTTAATGGATATGTTGAATAATAACAATATAACACATACAATCCTGCTGAATCTGTTGAATAACTTGAAATATACCCTTCTGTACTCTTTAAAAATAAAACAATTTCATTCAATGTTTCCATTACTTGTTGTTGTGTCATTGATGATGCAAATACAAATACTGCTGTAAATAATAAATCAACTGAATCATATTGTAAATCAACACGATGTTTTTCTCTTACATTTGGAACTGGTGTTATAATTTGGTCTTTAGAATATGGAATCCCATCTTCTGGTATTTCTCCTTTAACTCTAGCACATAACTCAAATCCATTAGAAAGGATTGGTGGTATTCCTGGTAATTGATCAACAACTATTACTAATCTACCATGATGATGATCTCTACTACTTGTACAATGGCTTCTACATTGGTCAAGAATATAAACAAATCCTTCATCAGTTTGATAAGGTCCAATAGTTCCAGTATTTGAAACACCAATTTCAACTATTTCTTTATTAGATGAACACCAACATGTAGTAATATTTGTAAACATATCATTCTCTTTTCTTATCTTTGCTTTAGTAACAGCAGAAAGAACTTCTTCTCCACTAAATTGAATACCAAAACTTGTATTAATTGTCAACTTTATAATAAACGGTCTAAATCGATAAATTTTTGGATTTACTTCTAATTTTGCAATTGGTGGTGTAAAATTAATTGGATGAACTTTTGACTTCTTTATTTCTTCTTGCAACATTTCAATTTCATGTTGTAATTTTAAATTTTCATTATTTAATTCTTCAATCTCTTTTTGAGAATATGTATGTTGTTCGTATCCACTTTGTACTACTGAAACATTAGGTTGTTGTGGTTGAATTGGATATCTTGGAATTGGTAACATTAAATAAATTATTAGTTTTTTAATTTAAAAATTCTTTATTTTTCTGTTTGAAAGAAAAGGAAAAAGTAAGCAATAACTTTAATTAAAGAATCATTCATAAATTATAAAAAATAGTTAATTAAAGGTTAATAAATTTATTTTCTATTGTTCCTTACTCAGTGAAGACTAATCCCATCCCTTTGCTTAAAGAATGTTTGGTCATCAACTGTTAACGTACCCTTTAGCTTTTAGTTGTTGGGATATGAGAAACTCTTTTCCTCATTTATTTATTGTGGAATAAAGTATTTCAGATATCTCTGACATAAATATTCAACGCATAAGAAGTCCTTGTTTGATTTTTAATGAGTATTAAAACTCCTCTTTTTTACTTTCTTGTTTTAAGAGGGATATGTCCTTATTACTATATTATTTTATTATAATTAATTTTTATTTTAGCCCAGCCACAACAACCAGACCCTTTTTCATTGATAATCCCATATTATCAAATATACTTGTATTCTAACCAATAAGTAATACCACTATCATTATAAATAATAATCATGATACTCTTACAATATTGAGTAAGATGCTTTTCTGACCAATGCAATATCAAAACCAGACGATAAATTAAGATTCAAAAGATGGATATATTTTAGGGTTATGTATGATGTCTCTGACTTGTAACCTTCAAATCCTGAATCGTTTAAATTATTTAATTGAAAAGAAAAAAACACAAGTATGTTTATGAAAATGGAGATTGAGTATATTCATTTTATAAAATCATTAATACTTTTTAAAACAAAATAATTCAATTATTCATAGTGTTACTCCTTATTCCTAAAATTTGTTTATAATATCAACAAATAATAAGTAAACTTAAACTTAAACAATTGAGTCTATTTAGAAAACAATAATCAAATGAATGAATAATTTTTTAACAAAAGAAACATATTTATTAAAATAATATATGTTAAAGATTTTTAAAAATAAATAAGATAAAGAATTAAAATTGACTTTAAGTTTATAAATAAAGATATATTTAATTCTATACTAAAATAGAATAAATATTTTACTATCTCTTATACTTATAAAATATGGAAATTATTGAACTCTTATTTTTTTATAGAAAAGGTATGTTATAGTACATTTAAAAAATAAATAAAGAAGAAGAAGCACTTGAAATATTAATTTTAAGTAGTTGTTAAAATATAAAAAAGAATTAATTTTTAACAAATATAAAAATATAATTTTAACGATAACTCAAACTCAAAATTTAGATATAAAAAACGACTAAAAGTATGTCAACAAATGCTTGGAAAGGGTTTAAAAAAGCTACTAGTGAAATAAAAGAAAGTATCTTAATGAATGATGAAAAGAGAAAGAATATTCAACAAATTGATGGATATTGGCAAAAACAACAAAAATTCTTTCAATCAACAAATAAAATTTTAAATAAATTTGTTGAATTAATTGATGGAGAAGTGAAGTATTTAAAAGAACATTGGGAATGTAGTAGAATGAGTTTGGTCATTATTATTGACTGATTAAACAATAAATTTCTTATTAAATAGATCAACAAGAAACAAATATTATTGGAGAGTCTTTAACTTTAATGCTGAATATTTTTCTTACTACAAGCAAAAATCTTAAGTGTATTGAAGAGATTACTTTTAAACCAATATTTAAACAAATAAATGATGTTAAAAATCATCTTACTGATGAAAATGAAGAAATAATCATTCAAAAATATTACCAACTTGAAAAAATGATATCATGGAATACTCCATTAACTTATAATAATTATATTCATCAATTTGTAATGATGTTTGATGCAGGAAGTGTTTATTTTAATGAGAATGAAGCAATGAACTTATTAATTTCAAATGCACAAGAAGTTTGTTGTTAATATATAAGAAAATGATATAGATGTATAACATTAATTCAACTGATAGTTAAAACAACAATATGTAATTCAAAATAGTCAACCATCTGCATTGTATTGTAATAAAACAATTGAATCAATTCTTGTGACTGAACAAAGAACACCAAATCAATTACCAATCGCAGTAGAATCAATTTATAATTATCTTTATGATAAAGGATTTACTGTTCCTGGAATATTTAGAGAAATAACAACAGGTAATAAACAACAAATTGATGAATTGTATCTTAGAATGGCAATAACTTCATTTGAAGACCTTCAACCAGATTTAGTTGCTGCAGTTTTTAAAAAGTTTTTGAGAGATTTACCAATACATGTTATTAATAAACAACAAACAAACAATCTTATTAATAATTATACTTCAAACGGTATTCATGGAATTAAATCAATAATAACTTCATTACCACTTGAACATCTTACTTTGTTTAAGTATATTATGAAATTGTCTTATAAAATATCTGCTTATGAAGATATTAATTTAATGAATTCAAAGAACATTGCTGTTTGTTTAGCACCTTCAATTCTTACTTTTGATGATACTGATACTTTTCTTTTACCAAAAGGAATCACTGTACTTTCAGAAATTATTACCCACTTTAATGAAATATTTCCAAATGATGTTGACAATTTAGTTTATAGAAAGTCTCGAGTATTAAAAAGAACAACAAAAATTATGAGATCTACTGATACTGATGTTCTTGGAATGTTACAAAAGAAAACTAATAGAAATAGACTACCCCAAAAAACAAAACCACTTCCTCAACCAAACCAAACTCACCAATCTAAATCCTTACCTCAACCACCATCAACTTCTCTTAAACAAGAGACTCAAGGAATCAAGAGTATTGAACCAAAACAAAATAGTACAACAACTGACTCAAGTAAACAAAAAACCGTTATGACACAACAACCTGTCAACGCTCATAACAGAATATACAAGTACCAACAAAACTTTCATTAATCTCTTTTTTCCTTAATTTTTCTCTTTGTTTTTTTTTGAATGAAAAACTCAAAATACTTCAAAAAATAACAAATCAATGAATCTACCAACAAAAGTTCAACAATTTATAGAACTCACTGGCGCTCCTGAAGAATACGCTAAATTATATTTGGATAATTGTAATGGTGATTTGGAAACTAGCGTCAATGCTTATTTAGAAAATGAAGAAATAGCCCTTAAAGGAGATGAAAGTTACCTTGCTCCTGAAAAAATAAAGATAACACAACTAGCGACACCTACATCAACTGAGTCAAATACTTATATGTTTAGAAACTTTAAAGATGAGGCAGAAGGGAAAATAACGAATTATCAACAATTTGTACCATTAAGTGAGTCATCAGTCCTTGGTGATTTTGGAGCAGCTTGTGAACGAGCTGAAAAAGAAAATAAATGGATATTAGCATACGTCTTTAAAGAAAATGACTTAGAATGTTTAACATTCATTAGAGATGTTTGGAAAAGTTCATCTGTTAGATGGCAAATGGCTAGAAACTTCATACTATGGGTACCATTAACTGCAATTGCTAATAACTATTCAACATCAACAAGTGGACTCTCTTCAATAAAAACATGTGACGACTATGTAACACGATACAAAATAAAAATGCCTAGCATTGCACTACATAACCCAATTACTGGAGAATTACTTGAACTAATAACAGCAAGAAATGAAAAAGAATTAAGCCTAAAACTTAAAGATATAATAAGAGTATATGAGTATCCAAACAAAGAGGAAATAAAACGAAAAACTGATAATATTTGTGAGATTTCATCTAATTCTTCTTCAGAAGATAATAGCGATTTAATTTGTTTTGGTGCAAATAAAAAACCTTCTCAGTTAAAGGATGATACCATAACACCTAAAACAACAAATGTTATAGAGATTGAAGATTCTCTTCCTTCAGAACCAATTAAAACAAGTTTAAAAAAGTCACAAGATGTTATTGATTCATTTAGTCAAAATAATCCTCAGCCTAAAATACAGCAATCAACTCAAGAACCTAAATCATGTATTCACAAAGTTTCTGTATATAATAAACCTAAAGAAGGGAAACCAGGAAAGATTAAAATTACCCTAAATAAACAAACAAAAATCATAGAAATATATGAAAACTATACTGTTGGAGATGTCTTAGAATTAATTCATAATGAGTTTAGCGAAAAAAAAATAATTATTTGGGGAAACTTACCAAGAAGAAGAATTGATTTAATGGATGAGAATACTTTGTTAACAGAAGTTAAGTTATACCCATCTTCTGTATTAATTATTGAACAAATAAAATAATTATTGATATTTTCTGTTTTCAATTGTTTATTTAAACTTCAAATAAAAATTATATTTATTTCATTTCTATTTTCCATGCAAAAGCCATTCAAAGATGATAGCCATTTAGAAAAATCTAATATCCCATTATTTCCTTATGAATTAATCAAAGAAACAAGTCCTACTTTTCGACTTGAAAATAATCCTAATATAAGTTTTAATCAAAACAAAATATTTGGAGAAGTAGTAGTATGTGCAGAACATCTTGAAAAAGAATATCAAATAGAAGGAAGAAATGAACCAGTACTTGCTATTAGAGATATTTCATTTGGTAATAAATCGGAGATTTTAGGTATTAGAAAAGGAGAATTTGTTATGTTACGTGGTCCAAGTGGAGGAGGAAAAACTACATGCCTCAATATGATTGGTTTAATTGATAAACCTTCTCATGGAAAACTTACAATGTTTGGAACAGAAATTAATGAAAAAACAAGAGAATCTTTTATGGCAAATCTTCGTCTAGAAAAAATAGGATTTGTGTTTCAAACATATAACCTCCTTTCGACAATGTCTGCATATGAAAATGTTGAACTCCCTATGAAAATACTTGGGAAGTTGAATAAAAAACAAAGACATGCACGAACAATTAAACTTCTTGAATTAGTTGGTCTTCAAGATCGAATGAATCATCTTCCTTCTGAACTGTCAGGAGGAGAACAACAACGAGTTACTATTGCTCGTGCATTATCAAATGAACCAGAATTATTATTAATGGATGAACCAACAGGAGATCTAGATACCAAGAATACAATAGAAGTAATGAATTTAATTCTTGAATTAAATCAAAAAATAGGAACAACAATCATTATGGTCACTCATAATCCTGATATTGAATGTTATGCTGATAGAATCATCTATTTACAAGATGGACATATTATCAAACAAGTAATGAATTCTCAACAAACAAAACTAGACTATACAGCATTTATGAAATATATCTCATTAAGAGAAGAAAAATAAAGTTAATTTAAAATTTATCTTACACAAAATTATAATAGTTAAAAAAGTAATATAAGAAGAAAAATTAATGAAAAAAGACAAGAGAGAATTAATTTTTAATTTAGATTTAAGCATAACCAAATTTCTTGAGGATAGCTACTTTAGCCTTATACTTTTCATCTGCAAGAATCTTTTCTTTAGCTTCTGCAATAGCCTTTTGTTTTAATTGTTTAGCAGCATACCATTTACTAGCTTTTTCTTTTCTTTCTGTTTCATTTTTAGCAACAACATCAGCGTATTTCCATCCAACAGCAGTTCCAAGTTCTCCAAGAAGAGTTCTCTTTCTTGTTGGATTAAATGAATAAATTGCTGCTGCAACTGGAATTGATGATTTCTTCATTTTGTCATATGGTGCTGGGCATCCTTCAAAACATTTCAAATTCTTAAGAGCAAGTTTTCCTCTATAATTATTCTTTGGAAGCATTCCTCTAACAGCTTTACGAACCATATCAGCTGGTGAACGATGATGGAAAGCACCACGAGTTGGGTTAGTATTAACTCTCTTTCTTTGATAAAGTTCCCATTGAACTAATCTCATTTTAAGTGTTCCACATACTTGGAGATCTTCACATCTAATAAGAACAATTTTTTTTCCAAGAAGAAGATTCTTTGCAACAACTGAAGCTACACGACCAAGAACATGTCCATGGCAATCAATAACGATAACTTTAGACATATTGACTATCCAAGTAAATTATTAGTTTTACCCTAACTGTTTTTTTTTTGAAAAAATTAAAAACACAAATTAATTAATTATAACAAATTATGATTTTTTAAATAACATTTTTATTTTGATAACACTTCTTTAAAAAACAATGAGAAAATTAAATTTTTTTGTTTTTGTTATTCACAACTTAGAAAGACAAAAAATAACAACAGAATTGTTATTAAAATAGAATCAATTCTTCCAGAAGATTCCATCGAAAACAGAAAGAAAAGGAAATAGTGTGGAAGAAACTTTTACTATTCTGCACAGCTCTGAGACATTCTGTTTATTATAAAGCTTTGACAAAAACAATTAGTTAACACTTCTAAAAGTTCTACAATGTATTAGATAGTATTTAAAGATTGGTATTAGGATAACTATGAATTCTATAAAAGTATGTGTGCAAATATTAATGAAGCTACTCTTCCTGCTAAGAATGGAGTAATTTACCATTTACAAGTAACTGCAAAGGATGTTGCAAATAATATTATTATGGTTGGAGATCCAGAACGTGTTCCAAAAATTGCTGAACTTATATTTGATAAATCAAAAGATATTTTCCGTAAAGATCATCGAGGATTGTGTGTAATGACTGGTTATACTATTGGGGATGGCATGAGATTGTCTATAGTTACTCATGGTATGGGAACTGGTAGTGCAGAAATTGTTTTAAATGAAGTTCTTGCTTTAAAAGCAATTGATATTAATACTCGTACACCAATTGAAGTTAAAGAACCAGTTAATATTATTCGTATTGGAACTTCTGGTGCTTTACAATCCTCAACTAAATTAGGAACTACTATTATTACTAAGTATTCTATTGGTCTTGATAACACTGGTCTCTTTTATGATATCCCACCTCAATCTCCTCAAATTGTTAAATTAGAAAATATTGTTGATGACTTATTTAATAAAGGTGTTGCAGATACTTGCCGTTACAAAGGTGGTATTCATGCCTATGCTTCTCAACCAGATCCACGAATGGTTGATGCTCTTGTCCGTGCTTCAGAAAAGAATAAACTTCTTCATAAACTTGGTATTACAACAACTGTACCAGGATTCTTTAATTGTCAAGGTAGATTATTATTTGAAGAATTACCAGAGACTGTAGAGTCTATTGATAAATTACTTTGCTTTGATTTTGACGGAGTTCAACCTGAAAATTTAGAAATGGAAATTTCTATTCTTAGTTTAATCTCAAGTGGATTAAAATGGGTTAGATTTGGAGCAATGTGCATGGCAATTGCTAACAGAAGACTAAACACTTTTGCTTCTGACGTTGAAAGTAGTTTAGACCCAACAGTCTTAACTGCCGTTGATGCTCTTCGTGAAATGAGTAAAATTCCACTTTAAGAAAATAATACATCATCAAAACATATTAAAAAAACTATTTTTTAATTAGTAACTTTATTATTTTTTAAAGAAACATAAAATTACTTTCTAAATATTGAATAATTAAGCCTTTCTTATTTTATTACTTCTTTTGACTCTTAGTTGTTTTCTTTTTTGGTTTTCTTGAAACTTTCTTGGCATGTTGACCTGGCATAGGGTCATTATCATCTTCAACACATGATGGTTTTCCTCTAAGTGAGGGTGGTACATATGCAGCTGTTTCTTCTTCCTTTTTCTTTTGAATGATAGTGAAATGAACCTCATCTTTAATTGGTTCTTGAGGTTTTAAATTAAGGTGATACAACCTATCACCAAAATCAATTGAAGGTGACTCTTGTGCGTTGATAGGACAAACTTTAATAAAGTTGTCAAAATGTCTTCTTGGGAAACAACCACAGAAAACCAATGCCTTTGAGTCGTATGTCCAATACCACTCTGTAGTACAATGAGCAGAGAATTCAGCCACTAAATTCCACTTTGTAGTCTCATAGACGTCTACCTCTCCAGGACAGTTACCAAAACCAGCAACAGCAAGAAATTGGTTATTAGGTGAAAACTTAACTTCATTTCTACTTTGTTTAGGAAATTTTTTAATTGACTCTAATTTACCAAGTCGAGTAACCCTAAATATTTCTACAGTAGCAGGCATATACCCTGCAACTGAAGCTAATAAACTTCCATCATTATTGAATGACACATCATATACTGGACCATCTGGTTGTGGTAGACTCATGTTTTTAGATGAATCAGTTACATTAACTATATGAAGGAAACTTTCACCATAATAACTTTGACCTGTAGAATCAATATTGGTTTGTGCTTTACATAATACTATATTAGCACGAGGAGACCATATTAATTCGGAAGAACCTGCTTTAAAGAATGTTGAAGACGAAATAACACGAACAATGTCAGGAAAATGACCAACTCTAAATGTAGCGGGAACATTTTTTTTTGAATTCTCTGGAACAAACAAAGCAAATGTATCTGGTGTTTCTGGATTAGTAGACCATGCGAAATTTCTTACTACAGTATTGTTAAATTGTTTTTCTGCACGAACAAATGATGATTCAGAAACATTATAGAATGTTACAGTACTACCAAGATGAATTGCAACAGTTTCAGTGATATTGAATTGAATAATTGGCCAGACATGAATTTGTTTTTGCAATAATGAAAAAATTGGTTCATTTGTTTCTTTTTGAATATCAAATACACTTAATGTATTTGTTTGGTCTTGTTTAACTTTAACTGGTCCTGATCCATTTACTCCTTGAGTGTATTGCAATGGAATGAGTTGCCATACGGTAATATATCTCCCACTAGGTGAAACACTAAATCTATCAATATGAAGCATTTCAATTCTTTTAATAACTTCTTTTGTTGTTTGGTTAAGTACAACAATTCCTTTTTCATCAATGATTATAACTTTATTGGGAGCATAACCTGCAAGCTTTGCTTTTGCAAAGTCAATGTTAAATGTTGATGTCTTTGGAATGTCATCAAAAAAAGTAAGTCCCTCTTTGCAGAGAACATAACAAGGATATTGTGTTGCTGTGTTCATTCTTTCTTTTCAATTATTCTTTCTTTCACTTAAAAAAAAGGGTTTTTAAATAACAAAAAGAAAAAAAGAAAAATAAAATGTGTTTTTTTATAAAGAACAATTCTAAGTTCTTTCTTTTTCGATAAAATGTCTGATATCTCTCCGTTTGGACAGCGGTGTGCTCGGTGTCAAGATTTTCTCACTACACGGGATTATCTTCGAGATAACATATATTGCTCTAAATGTAAAATTGAAATAGAAGCGGAAGAATTTAACCAATTACCAGGAACGAAAAGAAGGTCGTCTCGAATTCGTGAGCACAGATTGAAAGCAGCAGAAATATTGATGAAAGAAGAGCCTATCAAAAAATATATAACCAGAAAGAAAGAAGAAAAAGAACCAAAGAACACTCAAACAGTAATCGAGTCGATTGAGGAACAAGCTTATTTTGTAAAACAACCAGAAGAAGATTTCATAAATGTTATTGAAACTGGAGTGTTTCCTCAAGAAGAAGATCAAAACAACAAAAAGTATATTCTTATAAACAAAAGAAATACTGAACTATATGAAATAATACCTAAACATGAAAAGAAACAATCTAAGAGACGGACACTTCAATGCCAGTAGTGTATTCATTTTAATTATTTATTACTGTAATAATTATTGAGAAGAGATAAAAGGTATTATTGCTACCGTTTAATCCTTCTTTAAATTATCCCAAATTTTTGTTATAATTGTGTTTTATTTTATATACCAAAAGATATTTTTATGGTTAAAAGAGGAGAACACTTAAAGAGCCAACTGTTTTCCCATATTTTCTAAAATTTATGAACTTACTTTTGTAATTGTTTAATTTTAGGATTATTTTAACATGTTTGAGTGTTAATTGAGTATATAGTTTTTACATGATTATCAACTTTATTTTATCGCATTTTTTGATTCATTATTTCGTATTACATTTTTGTAATATTCTTGAAAGAAATTGTAGACAAAGCACTGATTTAATTTAAGTGTATACAAAAATTGGCAATAATTCATTTTACTTAGTTTAAAAGATTTAATTTTATTAAAGAAATAGATTTAATGTTATTATGAAAACTTCAGTAAAAATAACAACACTCTTTTTAACACATTTTATCTTTTATTGTATAAATCAACACAGAGTTATTTTTTAACTTTATAATTGTTACATACATATAATTTGAAGAACGACACTAGTTACAATATATTAATGTCAGTTAATTTATCTACAACAATTATTGATTTATATCTAATTTACAGGGGGGGGGGTTATTGGTTGTATTTTTATATAGAGAATGGTTTGTCTTGTCAATTGATAAAATCTCTTGTATATTATCATACTTAGTAGTGTTTGATTAACACTTATAAATATTTACGTTTCAATAAAACATAATACATATTATAAGTGAATTATTTATTATCTAAAAAATAATTGATACATTATTAGTTATTTGTAACTTTTATAAATAGTAAATACTTGGCATTATGAAGAAGTATTTTTAAATAACTTTACAATAATCATTAAACTCTCTTTTCATGAGTAATTATGAGGATATGGTCTATTAGATAAATACGATAATATGATAACATTATATTCTCATTATATTTTATTATTGTCTGTTAGTTTTAGAATTTTATCCTTCTATTTTTTTGGAATTTTTATATTTTTATTTTTGAAGTTTGTCAGGTTTATATTTTTTTTTTCAAAAACAAAAACCCTGCTTCTTATTTAATTTTTGCTTAACGTTAATGGCATATCGATTATTGGTTTCATTTAACCTTTTCATGTTGTATTAATAATACTATCACAGATTTTATTATACAATTATTTTATTACTTTCATGAATTTATTATACATTTAACTATATGAGTTTTAATTGATAAATATTTTTATTCTACAATCATATAATAAATCCAAGGACGTATGGCTAACTCTTTCATGATTTATTTTCCTTTTTTTAGTCATGGTCTAACATTACATTCTTGAAATATTATTGTGGTTATATTCTTTTGATGAAAAGCTTTAATTAAATTTACTAACAATAACATTAGACCTTTGTTTGTATTACTCTTTTTAATAAACTCAACACTTTACCTATACTGTAAATGTGATGTTTTATTCTATCTTATGTTACACAAAGATTACAAACAATAAGTCTTGTATAACCTCATACTTCTATAGCCGTTGATTTGAAAACTCTCAATAATTATTACTACCTAAGATGCACTTCTATGTCAGACCTTATAGAGATGTATAAATAAAGTTATAGCACTGTTCTTCTTTATTCATATGTAATACAAAACATAAAAAAGAGTTTAAGTCATTAACAAATACATTAATATATGAACTAGATAAATGGTTTATTCTTTCCTATTTCACAATCTGAACACTCTGATTTTTTTATTGTTATTTTTAGGGTATTTGAATAATTTTTTAACTATACTATATATATCAAATATAATATTTTCAAAGTTATATTATTAACTTTATTTTCTTAACAAAAAGAAGTTTATATAAATTGGTTATCAAAAAAACATAAAATGAATTTCAATAGAGTTAATAATCTGCTAGCTAATTTTATATCTTACCAAAAATTTATAATAAATAAATTTTTATGAGTGTTAATTCTAAAAAATGAAAGATTTATTAATTCTAATTTAAAAATACAGAAATATTTTAAAGTAACCTTGTATTGTTAAATAGTACCTTTATCTTTTTTTTGAAAATAGTAATCTACTAAACAAAGCAAACTTAATTTAATTTAATTAATATACTTTGGGAAATCCTATCTTTTTGTTGAAGCATTTCTTAAAAAATAATCAGTTATAGAACTTGTGTAAAAAAGATTAGAGTATTTTAGTCTACATGTTTGACATTAATTTTTAATCGAGACTAAGTCAATTTTAAATAGACTTTTCTTTTAAACACAACAATGCTCTGATATGTTATATAAGAAAATAATTTAAGTATTAATTCAAAAACTTTAAAATAGGAAAAAGAAGTATAAATTAAAGAAACTTTAAATTAAAATACTCTTACATGGGATATGGACAGATGATAATACACATGGAGAAGAATATAAAATTGAATAAGTTAGGGTAGAAAATGTTTTGATTGATTGTTGAGAATTTGGTATTGATTTTAATAAAGATAAGACATTACAAAGAACAGATGCATTTGGCTGAGACTTTTTAATATAGTCATCGAAAAGGGCTAACGTTCTACAAATTAAGCATGATGGATTCTGTTTCCTTCTAAGTATTTCTGATGCTTTATTAAGAATAATTCTATCCTCCGTATTGGTTAACACGTTATAAGTGATTCCTGCAAGAATAGAACAACACAACATTTCTTCGTTAACATCTTCAGCAGGTTTATTGAGAGTAGAGACAATATAAAAGCTGTTTCTAAACAGTGCAAATGTTTTAATTTCTTTGTCATTGTTTGTGCTCATTTGTCAGATAGGTCCTAATGAATTTCTAAGATAAGAAAACCAAACTTAAATAGCAATAAGAAGAAGTTAGTTTAACATAAGTTTTATTTTGAAGTTTGTCTAAAACACAAACCTCAAAAAATTTTCTTACATTTAAAAACACAAATAAAAAAGGAATAACAAAAAAGAGAGAAGTAAAAGTGAAAACCCTTGACAGGATAATTATCTTGTTAAACTGGCTCTTGTTATATTCAGAATGGACCCAAAACAAATATTCAAAAACGTATGTGAAGGAAATGATTTTATCAGTTTTAATGGAGTTATTTCGGTTATAAAAGATGAGGATAGGTATTGTGATGAAGTTCCTGGATTAGTTGGATTGTCTTCATCATCAGATAAATTTAATCAACAAACATTTGTAGAGACACTCAAGTTAATCAGGAGATTTAATAAAGAAGTAAGTTCAGTAACAGGGGATAAACAACGTACAGAAATTAGAAATGTTTTTATGTTTAAAGCAATTAGTGGAGGGGGAGATGGACCTATTGATGGACAGATAGTTGTAGAGAGGTGCAAAGGAGCAGCAGAAAAAGCTAAAAGTCTCAAAGAAATAATAAAAAGAATAGGACAAAAGGCAGAAAAAGAAGAAAAGATTGATTTAATTAAATTTCAAGAACTTGCAAATGAAGAAGAAGAAAAAATAGCAAGAAGTTGTATTGGTACAGGAGATCAAGAAGAAATAAAAGGAATAGATAAAATTATTCAACACTTTGATTTAATCAAAGAAGAAGGTAGAAATAAATTAGGGTATCAAGAGTGTGTTGAATGTCTTGAAGCAGGAGGAATTAAAGAAGTGGATAGTATTTTTTTTATTGAAATTACAGATATTGAGAATCAAGGAGAAATTGAACGAGAAGAGTTCATTAGAAGTAGTAAATTAATAGAAGAGTATTATAAGAATATGGGAGAAGAAACAAAAAATAAAGAGATAATAGATGAAAAATACAAACAGATATTTGGAAGACTTGTTTTTAATTTAGTTAATAAGAAACAAGAAGAAAAAGTTTCTAAAGATATTATTTGTCAAGCAATGGATAAAATAGTAGGGAAAAAGATTAATGGAAGACCAGTTCAAAGTATAGAAATGAAAGGAGAAGAAAAGGAGTTAAGTGTTGAAGAATTTATTGGGTATTTAAAAGATGAAGAAGAAAAGATTCCAATGAGTAGTGAAAGAGAGAGTGAGGAGATTTTAAAAGAACAAGAAGAAAGAAAAGAAGAGAAAAAAGAAGAAAAAGAAGAAAAATATGAACCTAGTAGATGTACAGTATGTTATTTAAGATGTATCTTTGGATGTATTGAGAATTACTGTGGGTATTAATAATAAATAAATTGAAAAGAAATAATTTGGGGTTTAAAGAAAAATTTTGAGAGAGAAAAAGGGGTGGAGAATAGGTT